GACTGCGAGAGGGCACAGGCCGGGCTGAGGGACCCCCCACCCCGAGTGCACAAATTTTTGTGCACCGGGCCTCTAGTTTTATAGATAAAAAGAAAGAGTAGTGGCTGCCATGAAAAGGAGTGAAACTCCCACTTCCAAACCTAGAAGAGAGAAAGGTTGTTTGATTGTATACATGGAGGCAGGGGTAGTTGGAGTAAGAGGACTTCATCCGGCAGACACGAGCTGGGAGTAGAGGCTAGGAGTAAGCATTTCAGGAGGAAAGAACAGCACAGCCAACACAGTGTTGGGGAGTCACACAGTCGGGAGGTGGTGAGCTGTTTGTGTGGTGGGAGATGAGGCTGATAGGTATGTTGAGTCTAAAGTGGAAACACCTTGAATGCCATTAATCTCCTGTGGAACAGTAGCTGAAACCAGTGTACAAAAGAGTTCCTTGAGGAACACATTCCTTCAGAGACTGATGACAGAAGACAGCATAGGCTCAGGTATCTGCATGTTACACAAGGACTTTGGGTGATTTTGAAACAGGACATCCATGGACCACACTATGAGAAACTTTATAGATGGTGGGAAGCCATTAGGAAAGTGACACATAGAAGTGATAGAGCAACGATTTTCAACCTTTTTCATCTCATGACACATATAAACATTACTAAAATTACTAAAATTTTGCTGATCTGACAAAAAAAAGTATAATTTTGATTCACACCAGATGGCTGTTGTCATTTTTTTTTTTTTTTGACAATCTAAAGGAAAAGAGGTCAGCGCCCCTGACTAAAATAGTCAGGTGTTGCATGTTTTAGAAATCCTTTTGGCATATCGTTTGAAAATCATTGGGATAGAGGAGTGGGAACGAGAGATGGGCCATATCCCAGAGATCACACTGCCCTGAAGGCTTGTTCTAGACTGGAGCAGGGACTGGCAAATGATGGCTTGATGCCAAATCCAGGCCACTACCAGCTTTTGTAAGTAAAGTTTTATTGGCACACAGCCATGCCCATCCATTTACATATTGTCTGTGGCTGCTTTTTTACTTCAGTGGCAGAATTGAATAGTTGTGAACAGGGTATAAGGCCTGCAAAGCCTAAAATATTTATACTGGATTTTACAGAAAAAGTTTGCTAACCCCTATTCTAGAACATTCTTGAGCTGCAAATTAGGTAAATGATAGAATGAGAATCTTTTTTACTATGGTGGTTTACATTTTTAAAAATATTGCTTTCCTTTTTGAGAATTTAAAGAAAGCTGTGAAGTTTTTCCTGAGAAAGACACTAATTTCATAAACACAATACCTTTTAGACAATTGCAGGAAGTTGTAAGTCCCTTCCTTCAGCCTCTAAGAGCTCTACAAATCTGATAGATAGACTGAAATTCTCAGACTCAAAAGGCAGACTCTGATGTCCTTCCTCCTTACTTTTGGTACTCAGAACTTAAGTAAAGGGATCAATGGGTTCTAAATACAAAATAACTACCTGGTCACTATGGATTTTAAATTCTCAATACCTGTATTTTCTCTTCTTTTGTTTTGTTATATGTTTTTATTGATTTCAAAGAGAGGAAGGGAGAGGGAGAGAGAGATAGATACATCAATAACAAGAGAGAATCATCGATTGGCTGCCTCCTGCACCCTCCCCCCTTATTGGGGATCGAGCCCACAACCCAGGCATGTGCCCTGACCGGGAATCGAACCGTGACCTGGTTCATAGGTCGACTCTCATCTATTGACCCACACTGGCCAGGCCTCAACACTTGTATTTTCTTACTTTAAGGTACTTAGTACCTGCAGGAGGAAAATAAAATAAACTCTTATACTCTTAAGCTAGACTCATCAATTATAAATGTTTTGCCACATTTGCCCTTGTTACCTGTGCTTTCTCTCTGTGTACACATGTGCTCACATACATTTTTTGTGTGATCTATTTGAAAATAAATTGCAGACAATATGTCACTTCACCAAAAAGTCCTTTAGCATGTATCCTCTAGTAACAAGGACATTCTTTTACATAACCATAGTACTACTAGAGGCCCGGCGCACGAAATTTGTGCGCAGGTACGGTGCCTAGGCCTGGCCTGCGATCAGGGCCATCTTCCCTAGATGCCGGCAGCTGGCCCTGCTCCCAGCCACCACCCACCCCCAGTTCCTCAGGCGATCGGAGCATGCCAGCCGGGGGAGGGATCAAGAAGTTGGCCGTCCCGCCTGTTCGCTGGCCCTGCCCCCGCCGTTGGTCACCCTCTGTGTGTGGGGCGACCCTCAGAGGCCTGGCGCACGAAATTTGTGCACAGGTATGGTGCCTAGGCCTGGCCTGCGATCAGGGCCATCTGCCCTGGATGCCGGCAGCTGGCCCTGCTCACAGCCACCACCCACCCCCAGTTCCCCAGGCGATCGGAGCCTGCCAGCCGGGGGAGGGATCAAGAAGTTGGCCGTCCCGACCGAGCGGTAGTCAGTGCGTCTCATAGTGACTGGTCGAGCAGTTTTTCTGGTCGGTCTGCTGTTAGGGTCAATTTGCATATTACCCTTTTATTATATAGGATTATCAACAGTCAAAAACTCATGGATACAGCAATATCATGTAGTACTTTTGAAAGAGAGAATACATACACATATATGTGTATTCCATATTCACATTTCCCCAGGAATGCCTTTTCCTTTTTTTATTTTTATTTAAAACCTAACTAATTATGAATCACAAATTAAATTTGTCTCTTATAATCTAGAACACTTTTCCCAATTGTGCATGTTGCAGGGAAGAGGAATGGAGAGAGGCAGGAAGAGAGGGAGAGACCTTTTGGAGATTCAGCCCTTAAAATTTATTTGTTAAAGCAAATCTTAAAAATCTGGATTTGTCCAGTTGTCTTTCCACAGTAGTATTAGATTTTGAAAGAGAAAATACATACACACATATATATATTCCATATTCACATTTCCCCAGGAATGCCTTTTCCTTTTTTTATTTTTATTTAAAACCTAACTAATTATGAATCACAAATTAAATTTGTCTCTTATAATCTAGAACACTTTTCCCAATTGTGCATGTTGCAGGGAAGAGGAATGGAGAGAGGCAGGGAGAGACCTTTTGGAGATTCAGCCCTTAAAATTTATTTTTTAAAGCAAATCTTAAAAATCTGGATTTGTCCAGTTGTCTTTCCACTGTAGTATTAGATTGAGGTCAAACGTTTTTAGCAAGAATACTACATAGGTGGTGGTGTGTCCTTCCTCTTGTATCTTGTCTGGAGGTTGTTGAGGTCAATTTGCCCTGTAATTGTTGATGCTAAGTTTGATTTTAAAATGCCTTTGTCCTAGTGCTGTACATTGAAAGATCCTAGTAGCAATGAACCCCCAGTAGCACTCTACCCCTAGTATCCAGGCTCTTGGTTTCTAAGGTACATTCTCCACTAAAAAGAAACAGAGCTCCTTGGAGAAATGTTCCGAGTTTGGGGCAGGATGATCCTGGAAAATCTTACTGAGTCAGTAAGGAGGGAAGTGCTCAGTGAATGTCAGGAACACAGGAAAGGGAAACAGGGATTAGCTTGAAAGGATTCTCCCAGCTGGACTTGGTAATTTGATCATAAAGAAAGAATAAGATGATAATAGGTTATAACCTTGAATATAAGAATCCATGCATCTACAGTGATTTAAAAAAGAAGATGGGGCCCAAGCCGGTTTGGCTCAGTGGATGGAGCATCAGCCTGCGAACTGAAAGGTTCCAGGTTCAATTCCAGTCAAGGGCACAGGCCTGGGTTGTGGGCTGGATCCCCAGTGGGGGACTTGCAGGAGACAGCCAATCAATGATTCTCTTTCATCATGGATGTTTCTATCTCTCCCTCTTCCTTCCTCTCTGAAATCAATATATATATATATATAAAAAAGATGGGGAGGGGAAGCTCTTTTTTACAGAAGAATGCCAGCTAATGAACAGGAAAAGAAAGATAGAATTGGAAAAATCAGAATTTGAGTTGTCCCATGGCCAGATAGAACATATGATCTGATGGAGAATCTTAGGTCAAGCTTACTTACAAAGCTCTAATACATGGTAGTTGTCTGCAGCCTCGTCTGTAGCTATGGATGTTACATTTTTACTAGTTCCCAAAGTCAGCACATTATCACTTAAGTTCTTTGGTTCTGTTTTTTATTTATCATTCTCTCAGGGATGCTCACATGTGTCACAGAAAGATTAAATAAGATCTGATAGACATTCACTAACTGCCTTTTGTATTCTGGGCATTGATGGCAAGATTTAGATGATGAGTTTTAATTTTTATGTTTGATATCAACAAGTAAATGATTTCCATGTGGTTGGACAGATCCTGAAACAGTAAATGCAGTGGATGGAATTTTTACTTCCTATGGAAATACTTAATGCTAATGTACTTGACTTTAACCTTTAACATCGCATCTTCTCTCCTTTTTGCAGGCATGCCCAGTCCCTGGCCGCCCTGCAGGCGTACTCTCACTGGTTAGCACAGTATTGCAGTGAAGCGCATCGGCAGAACACCCAGCAGTTTGTCACACTCATCTCCACTACCATGGATGCAGTCACACCTCTAATCAGCACCAAGGTCTGGAAACAGCGAAGGCTACACCTGTCATCTACCTGAGTCTGTCTTGTCCATGTACCCACTTATTATCCAATCAAAATATTACAGAGCAGTAGACTCGTCATTCTTATCACTGAAATATAACTACATGCCATTTCATGTTCCTTTTTAGTTGTAAACCACTTAATGCAAATATAACTTTATATTTTTAGTTCTCTAAGTCCCACATGAACACATACTTATTGTGAAAAAGTAAAATATGGTTCAAATTTATAGATTGAAATGTGATGGTACTCTTTGATCTCTTCCTCCAAAACATTTCCCTTTCCCCAGTAAGCACTGTCCATGGTTGTGTATCCTTCAGAGATGTTTCTTTTTACATACACAAGTGAAAGTCTGTATTTAGCTGAAGATACAGCTGCTTTTGCTTAACAGTATGCTTCGGAGACTTTTACATGTATAAAGCAGCTTCAGCTTTTCAAACTGCCCCGTGTTTTGTAGTGGGGATAGATTATAATTTCCTTATTGATGGAAATTATATCCTTGTAGGATCGGTTGCTGCAAGTGGAATTGCTGGGTTGAAGGTTATATCCATGTAAACTTTGATAGGTTCTATTAAGTTGTCCTCCAACAAGACCAGGTTGCATTATTTGAGGGTATACATGCTTGTTGTTTTTTTTTTATGGTTTTAGTCATACATAGCATTCTGTACCACTATTAATAGGATAATGTATTATTTTCCATAAGTTTCTATTGTGTTTATAATTGTAATTTATAAAAAATACCCCACACAGGGTATGTTTCATAATAGCCATTGCTGGACGTTTGACAGCTGCCATTTTTTATTTTTTATTTTTATTTTTTTATTGATTTCAGAGAGGACGGGAGAGGGGAGAAAGAGATAGAAACATCAATGATGAAAGAGAATCATTGATTGGCTGCCTCCTGCATGCCCCCTATTGGGGATTGAGCCTGTAACCCTGGCACCACTGCTGTGCTGGCCAGCCATGAGCCAGTTTCTGGCTGAGCGGCGTTCCCCCTGTGGAAGCGCACTGACCACCAGGAGGCAGCTCCTGCATTGAGCGTCTGCCCCCTGGTGGTCAGTGTGCATCATAGCGACCAGTTGTTCCGCCATTGGGGTCAATTTGCATATTACCCTTTCATTATATAGGATTTATTTCCTAAACATTCTATGTGTCCTTGACTCTTTTGTATGCGGTTTTCACCCTAGTTTTATCAGCATTAGGTCTTGTCTACAAAAAGTTTTCCTTCTTTTTTAATTTGAAAAGTACCATTATGGTACTTGAATCAAGTTTTTGATTGGCATGTTGAGGTAAAGGAAGTAGGAGAACCTGGCATGATAGATGGAGTGCTAAGGTGGGGGTGGAGAGAGATCTTGGCTTGGTTGGAGCAAGAGGAATGAGATGAATAGTCTGCAGTTATTTTAATGAAATGCCAAGGAGCTTGCCATGAGATTTAAGAGTTGATAGTGAACAAATGGTTCCCTGAGTTCAAAGATGCCGGTGACTATGAACAGGAGGAACTGGAGATGATGATCCTAGCTGGAAGGCAGGAGCTGTGGGCATGGTAAAGAAGATGCCTTTTTTTTTTTAAAAAAAAGAATGTTATTGGAATTTCTTCTTTTTTTAAAAATCTATTTTTATTGATTTTCAGAGAGGAAGGAAGAGGGAAAGAGAGATAGAAACATCAGTGATGAAAGAGAATCATTGATCAGCTGTCTCTTGCATGCCCCCTACTGGGGATTGAGCCCACATCCTGGGCATGTGCCCTTGACCAGAATCGAACCTGGACCCTTCAGTCTGCAGGCGGACACTCTATCCACTGAGCCAAACCAGCTGGGGCAAGAAGATGCCTTTGTGATGGGCATCAGCATAGGAAAGCTCCTTTGAGATAGAGCCGATGTGGTACAATTTGGCAGCCAAGAACTATATTTAGCTTGTGGCTGCCTCATCAAGGTTCTTCTAATACAATCTCAGGGGATACAGTGAGCTGCCATGTCCTCTTCCCTCTTCAGGTCCAAGACAAGCTGCTGCTATCTGCGTGCCACCTGCTGGTTTCACTGGCCACCACTGTGAGGCCCATCTTTCTGATCAGCATCCCCTCAGTGCAGAAAGTGTTCAACAGAATCACCGATGCCTCTGCTCAGCGACTTGTTGACAAGGTGAGGCCCAGGGTTACCCTGGAGTCACTGGAGTGGTGCGGCTCAGCCTCAGGGAGGCTGGGGAAGAAGAGTCTGGCCATTCTTTCTGCACCCGGAGCTTACAGGCCAGGCCACCACAGACGGCTTTCTTACACGTGCGGCACGGACACAGCCTTACTGCTCTCTTGTCACGTCCTCCCCATCATGGCAGTCAGTGTGTGGATCCAGACATAAAAAAGTGCCTCCTAGGGACAGAGCTGGTGCTGCTTTTTTTTTTTTTTTTAACTTATTTATTGAGATGAGGCTTATGTTGCTTTGAGAGCTAGTGATTTAGCTGGTGTTGTGAGAGCCTTTGCATTCTTTTGGTTTAAACAGTCTGTTTTTATTGTTACATGTTTGTTTTCTGAGGGTTGAGATGCCTCAGATAAGTATATTCTCTTAAAGTCCTAGGAAGCTCAGGTTAGACGTGTAGAAACAAACAAACAAGGCTGGAGTCAGAGGGGGGGTCACAGCAGTTAGGTTAAGGGCACCTGGATATGAACGAATTGCTTCGGACCAGCACCCTCTTACTAGTAATAGCCTGCTCCGAGTAGCGCTGCCGAGGGTGTCAGAGGCCAGCAGCAGAGAGACTGGTGAGATCCAGGGTCTGGTCCGCGATGCTTCCAGGACCACAGTAATTATTGAGACTGGCTGGCCCTCGGCTGTGCTAGATCCAAAATTGGTGTTATTGCTTCACTTTCTTTTCCTCCCAGGCTTCCCTCAGAGTTGGACCAAAGCCCCAGGTACAGGTTATCAGAAAGGAGCCTGGAGCCTGAGCTCAGTGTGTGTAGTGGGTGCTAAAGACTGTTGTTCTTGAACTTCTCATCATGGATGCCTTTGGGGTCTCTTCCAGGCTCAGGTGTTGGTGTGCCGAGCCCTCTCCAACATCCTGCTGCTTCCATGTGCAAACCTCTCAGAGAGTGAGCAGCAGTGGCCCATGCGCTCCGTCAACCATGCCAACCTCATCTTCGCACTCTCCCGGGACTATCGCAACCTGAAACCCACTGCTGTCGCCTCTCAGAGGAAGATGCCCCTGGATGATAGTAAGTGGCCCCTGGGCAGGGACATCCCAGGGAGATCGGTAGGGCAGGCATTGTCCTTCCTTTGTGGCAGATGGGATTTGCACCCGAGGCTCCTGAGTCAGACTTGGGGTATAACCCTCTGACCTGTGAATTCAGTGAACACATCAACTGGACCTGTTTCTTGAATGCAGGGTGCCCCTTCTCTCTCTAAGAAAAAGAAAAAAAGTTTTTTATTGATTTCAGAGAGGAAGGGAGAGGGAGAGAGAGATAGAAACATCAGTGATGAGAGAGAATCATTGATTGGCTGCCTCCTGCATGCCCCCTACTGGGGATTGAGCTGGCAACCCACGATGGAGAATTGAACCATGACCTCCTGGTTCATAGGTCAATGTTCAACCACTGAGCCACACCAGCTGGGCCCCTTCTCTTGCTTAAAATGTAAAAAATAAGGAAAATGTTTATTGAAGGGCTGTGGCTAAAAAAAAAATCCTGCAGTATATTGATCCAAGAATTGAACGACCGCCTGGTTCATATGTCAATGTTCAACCACTGAACCACACCAGCTGGGCCCCTTCTCTTGCTTAAAATGTAAAAAATAAGGAAAATGTTTATTGAAGGGCTGTGGCTAAAAAAAAAATCCTGCAGTATATTGATCCATTTCAGATAGTTGCATAAGCAAGCAGGGCAATTCATCTATACACACTGGGGGAAAGAGTTTAAGAATTACTTGAAACTGTCGTTAACCTTTCTCCAAATAAATATTTCAGAGGCTTTGAAAGAGCTTGGTATCTTCACAAATGGCACTTTTAGTTGATTGTTTATATTAAAGAGGCAGAAAAATATGAATCAAGAGAACTCAATAGTTTCAGTAGAAGGTATCAGATTTCTCTGAAAAATCTTCCTGAAATAATTACTTAAAAATGCAGTCTGTTTTCACAATAAGAAAACAATGGGACATTATTGGGCAACATTATTTATAGAATGTTAACAAAAATGCTATGTGAAATGTTAGAAATGATAAACACTCATCGTTTAAAAAACATTACTTTTATAATTAGGAACACTAACATATGTTCATTGTTCAAAAATATTAGGGGGGTAGGGGGACAGTGGGGGGATAAGGACACATATGTAATACCTTAATCAATAAAGAAAATAAAAAGAAATATTAGAAGAGTGTAAAGTAGAAAAGAAAAACTCTTAAATCTCACCAGTTTTAGTACTTTACAAAGTAACCATTTTAAATAGCTTGTTGGATGAATGGCTGATTACTGAGGGCACACTGCATAGGGGCTTGCCTGCCTTAGCGATCTTCCATCAGCAAATCTCGGCTGTGCCAGCGTCAGCTGTCAGCGTCTGGTATTGTCTGATCCTGAGTGTTTTACGTTCATTTAATTCTCATATCAGCCTTATGAGTTAGGTACTGTGAATTATCCTGATTTTATCCATGAGGAAACTTAAGATATGGGAAGGTTGAGTAACTTGCTCAGGGGTAACATACAGCTACTATAGAAAGGTGCTTTATCAAGTTTAATGGTCTTCTTTCTTACTTTATCTTACATCCTACATCAGTCAGCATAGGCTAGGACTAGGTTATGCTATGTTTGAGAAATAATCCCCAAAGCTTAGTGGCTTACTGCAGGAAAGCACTTGTTTCATGTTAATTCCACATGTCCAGCATGGGTCAGGGTTTGGGAAGGTTCTGCTCATTCTAGAACCCAGGCTTATGAAGGGTCCATTTCAGTTTGTGGTTACACTGGGAAGGGCTCTTGCTTAGAAGTGACACTTATTTCCACTCATTTTGTTGGCCAGGACGTATGGCCATGGTTCACATAGCGGGTGGAAAGTGTGATGCCACCATGTGCTGGAAATATTTGCTGAATAGGTTTAATGATTTCCACAATGAGCACAATTAAAAACATAGTTAGCATTTGTGGAGTGTGTACTGTGTGCCAGGTGTGGGCTGAGAACTTCATATACATTATTTCATTTAGTCTTCCCTATAGTCCTGTGGGTATATAGCTCATTATCCTCATTCTCCAAGTGACCAAATGAAGGCCTGGAAAGGTTTTTCTAACTCAACTTTATACTTTGAAAATTTTTCTAACCTACAGGACAGTTGAAAAAATAAGAAAATGAACAATTGTGTATCTTTCATCAGGATTCACCAATTGTTAATACTTTGCCACATTTGCGTTCTTCTCCACTCACACATACCTTTTCTTTTTTAACTGAGCTGTTTACAGTAAGTTGCAGACATTGGCACTTTATTCCTGAATATTTAAACTTTATTTTTGAGAACAAGATATTCTCATATATAACCAAAACACCATAACACAACCAAGCTGTGTAACATTGTTATAATAATGTCATTTATATTATAGACTAGAGGCCCGGTGCACAAAAATTTGTGCACTCGGGGCGGGGAGGGGG